CTGCATCTGGATGTGTGTAATCTTTTCCAGCTCAAACTGTTTCATTGGTTCACTTTGACTGCTCTCATCTTGTTTCCAGCTTGGAACATACTCAAAAAACTCCCACAGACACTAGCATTTTTATTACTTTCAACACAACAGGTTCACTGGATAATTGTTGCATTATACAAAAGGTTGTGCCGAAGAAGATGGCTATTAAGTTACGAAGGGAAACTTTTTCTTCTGAGCACAAGTAACTGCTCAGAAGCACATGTAACTGTAGTAATCCTTTTATAATACCTGTGTGCAGAGGGTTGAAGAGCTTTCTTTTTTTTAAACAGCTGCCTGTTGTTGCTGATAGCATCAATATGACAGCAGTCAGAAGAAAACAAAACAGATTATCTGACAAATGAGTTAAAATTCACTATAAATCTCAATCTCGCTTTTCAGACAGCTACAAACTGTGATGTGTTATAGTGAGGTACAGCAACATAACACAGTGCAAAATTGCATATTTGAATTATAATTCTGTATTTTGATTTAGATTTTTTTTTTTTTTTTTTACAAATAAAAACCTGGTACGACTGGTGTGCTTTTGAATTTAGTTCATTCAATCAATACAACCTCCTTTTTGCCGCATATAAAACGACAGTTCTCTTGGGTGTGTATATTTGGCACAATTTTGAAGATTAAAACAGTTTTCCACATTCTTACCCTACTCAGGTTTGATGGAAAGTGTTTAAGTTTGAAAGTTCTACAATTTGCTTTACTATCACTAACAAATTTCTGCAAAGGAGTAAGCTTTGATCTAAACCTGTCTATTATAGCTGTGATTGTTTAAAATCTATAAGACATTTTCTTTCCAGGACCCCTCTGTATTTAGCTTCATCCATCTTCCCATCAACTCAGGAAAACTTCCCTGCATTTGCCTAAAAAAACACCCTCAAAGAATGATGCGTCAGAAATATTTTTTTTTGCAGGGTGATGCCCATGATGAAGTTTCCCCACACAAATTGTTTTACATGTACTCCAAAAAATTCAGTTTTGGTCTCATCTGGCCAAAACTCCACAGATCTTTAAACACTCCTTCTTTTGGCTTTCTTTCAACATCTGCTTTCTCCTTGTGAGTAATAACCACAATTCCTGCATTTATTTGATAAAGGCCAGATTTGTGGAGTGCAGAACTAGTACTTTTTTATTTCTTTGTCAACAGATTTCCCCACTTGAGGATATGTTGAGCAGTGGATCCTGTATTCCAATTTTCCTAAGCATTAATTTCTTGGTGAGTTTGCTGTTGTGCCATTTCCTTCCCATTTTCAATTACAAATATGACACTCAGTGAGATATTAAAAACTTTGGATATTGTTTTATAACATGACTCTGCCTTCAACATTTTCAGAGTTCTTCTGTCCTCATTTGTCTTCATGGTGTTTTCACTTTCTAATATTTTCTGATAAACCTCTGAGGCCTTTAAAAAAACAGCTGGACTTATACCACAATTACAAATAAACTGAAATCTGAGTGAATATGAATCCTTGTTTCTTTTCCTTCAGCTTCAGACTTATTCACTCCCTTTTTGTTTTTTTTTATTACAAACTACGTCACAATGTTGCAAAATGAGAAAAAAAATAAGGAGTTTGAAACTTCTTGTAAGACATTGCTGGAATCTGTTTATTTATTTATTCCCATTTCATTTCCTCCATTATTTTGTGCAAGTACAAACATTAGCCACACTTAGCAGTTGATATGGTGCAGTGTAGCTGAACTGCTGCTTTTCTCTTTTAGTTGAGTGTATGCTGAAAGAAATGTGGCCTTCTCTCAGACCCCTGGCTACAGGTTAATTTAGGGGCTGACCACAAGGCTCCCCGATGGCTGTCTGACCTGAATCCAGATGGTTCTTGAAGTGTCTGGTCAGTCAAGTGTCAACACACTGTCAGGACAGATATTGTGGGATTCTTGTGGTTCAGCTCAGGCACTGAATAGCTCAGTGTAAAAACCTCGTTGAGTGTGAGCACAGCAGTAAGACGTGAGTATGAAAACAGAACCCTGTCAATCCCCCTCCACTGGAAAATGCACTCAACATGGGCTCTGCCTCCTGCCAGCATTTTTTATCAAAGACCGCGATCTGAACTTACACATGTGTATTGAGCTTCACCCTCTGCGTGCTTTCTTTTTGTGAAGCCTGGCAGTGATCAGTCTACTGGGAACTTTCATCAAATAGACATAGACATGTCAGTTTCGAGGATAATTGAAGAGTGAGGTAAGAGAGACAAACTGAATGAAAACTCATGACATCTTCTTTTATTTGTACCACTGATTCACTAACAACTGTGTTAGAAACTTTTATGTTTTTAAATGCTCCATGTTTGTGACATAAAAATACTCTTCAAGCCACTCAACTAGAAATTAGTCCTTCTTTGATGCAGCAGTGGACTTTAACACATTAGGTGTGTTAACGTCTACACCACAAAATACCAAGGAGGTTGCTTTAGTTGTGCAAGATTCAGAATTTAATCTTAGATAAGATTGTGTCCGGTTTTGGGTCTCAGCCACAAAGCAGATTCCTTCTTCCAAGGTGTTTTTCATCAGGGTAATTAAAGTCTCAAATGGAAAAAAAAAAAGAAGAAGAAATCAAACACAGGACTGAACAACAGGGGCTGGTGAGCAAATAAAAACAGAAACACTGAGGTTATCCAAATCCAGCAAACAACATTCTAGGTGACCTCAGTGACCTGAGGGTGTCTTCAGTGACTTAGTTGAGGTCACCCAGACTTCAGTGGGGAGTCAAACCGACCTTTCACTCTCAGGAAAAGATGAGCAGGCGACCCCTCAGTGGTAGGGTGTGAACAGCCATTTAGCTCGAGCTTTTCTGGAGGTTGGGTTGAAGGTTGGTGAGATGGCATAAAACCAAATATCTCTTCAGATGTCAGCCAGGAAGCCTGGCTGCAGAGGAGTAAGCAATTTTGACCCAAGGTTTAAGTCAGTTCAACAGATTCTTTGGCAACCTGTGATGACACAATGACAAATTCATAATTTTTTTTAATTAAAGCTTTAAATCATAAAATCATAAAAAAATAAAATAAAAACTAAATGTTTTTTGTAAACATTTTACAAAAGCTACAAGTCAACTCTATATTTGTCAATCTCTGCCAAGTAAACCTCAAAAGTATTAAAGTTTTCTATGGCTACTTGATTTCACAACATAAGCATTTTCCTATTCTCTTTGATTCTTCTGATATTTCAACATGCCCATACATTTTATGTCGTTTTACACCTAATTAAGTGGTCAGAAAAAAATGTTTTTCCACTTATTTACAGAAGTCATCTTTTCAAATTTATTATCACAACCTGTTTTTTTCTCTCTTTCAATGTTTCTGTTATGATGTCCTGACCTAGCTCAATTGATAACAGTAAAACTAGTTTAAATGAATACACAGAACATTATTCCAGCCATCCATAAAGGTCAGTGTGAAGTATTGCCAAAGGTATTGCTTGGCAATACCTTTGGCAATACTTCAGTTCCAACTTGTGACTTCAGTTCCAACTTCAGTTCCAACTTCAGTTCCAACTTCCTCCATCAAATATAATTGTGCCCTTGGTCACGACCCATAATCATAACTTTGTTCATTGTCACTGCATGATAACATAAAATACACTCCTGAGAAAAAGTTTGTTCCCGTTACAGATTTTTTTTTTTTACTCTCTCGCTCCACGTTTCAGATCATCAAACACATTTTTACCATCAAAGAAAAATAACCAGAGTAAATAAATAAACTAACGTCTTAAAAACTATATTTTACTCTCAAAAAACAACACAACATTCTGAGATCAAATCATTGACAATCAGTCAGACTGGAAAAGGTTGCAAAACTATTCTTAAAACTTTGAGACTCTAGCAAACCAAAGTAGTGAGAACCATCATCCACAGACGGGGAAAACATGGAAAGATGGGGAACTTTCTCTGGCGTGGCCAGCCTAAAAAATTACTTCAAGAGTGCATCATCCAGGAATTCACAAAAGAACACCATAAGCTCCACTAGACTTACTTGCCTCAGTTAAGGTCAGCCTCATAATTCAACAATCAACAAACTGTGACAGTGGCTCCCGTGTTTGAGGCCAAAATCATCAATGACCAAATATATATATAAAAAAAAACACAAAACAAAAAAAAACAAAACATCTTGACGATTTAAAAAACTTTTGGAGAAATATCTTGTAGACTGATGAAGTGGAATATTTATTCCATTACATTTGGTGCAAAACGAACAAAGAATAAAAAATATTACATACTGGTAGTAGAATAGAGCCGAGTGCATCTTTGTGGCTTAGTACCTGGAGAACTTGTGGTAATTTATGGAATCGTGACTTCTTCGTTTTACCAGAAAATCCTGAAGAGGACAGTATGGCCATCAGTTTGAAACCTGAAGCACAAGCAAACAATTATCCCAAGCAAAGCTTGTTGCTACAAGCAGATGTTGCTATGTCTTTGTTCTGACACTCATATGGTGACAAAACATTAATAGTTCTAAGAAAAAAGAAAACATTCTGCAGTAACAGCTGGTTCTGCAAATGATTTAGTTTACTATAGGGGGGTCGTTCACCCCCCTGTAGTTAAAGAAGTTTGATTATCCACTGGGCCTTAACTAAAACAACGTAATAAGCTTTTAGTAGATTTTTTGATTGGTGAAAAACATCCACTCAGTCTGTCTGGTCAGCTCACACCATCTTTCTCTGGAGCTTCTCACAACCCTACAGAGAAGGTGTGTCAGCCACTGACGCCAGCAGTCTACAAAGCTATGTATCCAAAGAGCCTTTCGTCCTCAGGGCAGGATGGTGAGAGCTTCCTCTGGGTTACGTTTATTACTAGAAGGGTTGTGAACCAGTGCAGAGGGATTGGATGGGGGTAAAGTTTGTTTTTAAGAGGTCACATTGAGGAAAGCTCCAAACTGAGTGGCTACATGAGAACACGGTTTGAGAGGATAGGCTATAAAAAGAGTCAAGGATCTGCGCACAACACAGAGACGCAGCTTTCACAACCTCGGATTATTCAAACCAGGAACTTTCGGGTCAGAAAAAGCTGACATATAACGCCTACATAATTAGTCTGTTTTTGTCTGCCTGCTGTCAGAGAAGTCACCATGACTCCACTGTCAAATTGCTGGATGTATTTAGTTGTCCTATCCCTGGCAGTGAACTCCAGCCATGGCTTAAGAAGGTAGACATCTTGCTCTTTTACAAGTCTCTCGCTCTGCTTACAGTAGTACCAGCTATACAGGTATACCAGGTGAAAAACATATTTGAGAAGGAAAGCATGCTGCAGCAAAAAAAAACAAAAAAAAACAGCTAAGTAAATGAAGACAGGACAACAAATGAGTTTTAGTGGTTTGCTGCTAAAACTTATGATCTGAGATGGATTAACATATGTTTTTTATTAATTTTTTTCTGGCTTGACATTTAGAGGAAAAATATGTCTGGGCTTTAGTACAGTATGACTGTCATAGTGAGTCCGTGACCAGACACGTGTCAAAAATTGAATAAATATTTCTCACAGAACTCAGAAACTTTTCTTCTTAGACCACCTACATTAGCTCTATTTGCATTAAATTTAGTTCAGTTTGTCTTTCTCAAATTTTCCTCTTTTGCTTTTATGTCTCTAGAATTGCTCTCAAGAAGATGCCATCCATCAGAGAGACGCTACAGGAGATGGGAGTTTCTGCAGAGCAAGTGTTGGCTGAACTGGCCCAGATGAACGCAGCCGACCCCAACAATGGGACAGTTCCCACACCTTTAACAAACTACTTGGATGTAAGACATTTTAACACCCATTTCCATGTGTTTTTGGGTGCATAGTCACCAAAAAATCTGAAACATATAAAGCATATATTTTTGTGTAAACGATTCTGCAGGTGACAGGAAATAAAGACGTGTTAAATTGAAGTCATATGGGTTTGCACTTTGACGAAAACAGACCTACGGCTTCAGGGTTCAAGAGGCCCACAAATGCGAGCAGTTTCCCCACTGCTCTTTGGACCAATGCTAAAAGTGTCTGTCTTCTTAAGTAAAACTGCAGATTAATTTACCTTTGAATTGGAGGTTCATTTGATAGTAATTGTGTAATCTGCCAACATTTTAAAAGAGCTCTTAGAAAGCCTCAGAAACACTGTCCTGTTTGTCTTTAAACAGACTCAGTACTTTGGAGAAATTAGTATCGGCTCCCCAGCCCAGATGTTCAACGTGGTGTTTGACACAGGTTCAGCCAACCTGTGGGTGCCCTCGCAGCGCTGCTCTCCTTTCTCAACAGCTTGCTGTAAGTAGCAGTGTGTTAAACTATAACTGGAAAGATACACTTCATGTATTGGGTTGAAATCTGGTAAAGTGTGGACCATTGTGGTGCAGTAAACTCTTATGCACAAGAATTCAGCTTGAGGCGATTTGAAATTTGTAATGTTATCCTGAAAGTAGCCATCACAACAGAAGTATACTATGGTTAAAACAGGAATGGACATTGCCAGCTACCAACCAATTTTGGTGAGTCATGTAGTCAAAGCTTCTGGTACCCATGTTCTTGTGAGCTAATGGTTTGATTGGACATTTATACTAAAAATCAGTTGAACAGGCTTCCTTTGTGAAGTGACCTGTGATTGTAAGTGGTGACAGTATAGTTGATAGGATCAATTTGAAAGGACTTGCCAGACCTTGTAGTTGGCAAAACAACTGAGATTCAGTCTACTCTCCTTGTTTTGTGTATGTCTTACCCTGTCTACTGAACACCAACCTGAAGGTAGACACAAACATCTGAAGCTCATCAACATGAGATTGTTACTGAACTACTTGAATGGTTTCCACTATATATAAGCTTAATTAGTTTTGTTCAAATGTTTGACATTTAAAATACATTTTGGACGTTTAGTCACTCACAACAGGTATGATTCTTCCCAATCGCACACTCATGTTGAGAATGGGACCGGATTTTCAATCTACTACGCCTCTGGAACTATCAGGGGATTTCTGAGCGAGGATGTTGTTGTGGTGAGTCAGAGTCTGGCACCAATAAATCAGAGTTACACCCATTTAACTTAAAGACATGCCCTTTGTATGCCATGTTACACCTTTCTGTCTTCTGTGAATTTGATCCCCGCAGGTCGGTGGTCTCCCCGTTGTTCAAGTATTTGCTGAGGCCACCTCTCTGTCTGCCATGCCATTTATCTTTGCCAAGTTTGATGGAGTTCTGGGGATGGGCTATCCTAACGTGGCCATTGACGGCATTACTCCAGTGTTTGATCAAATTATGTCTCAGCACATCCTCAAAGAAGAAGTGTTTTCAATCTACTACAGCAGGTGTGTTCACAGATTTCCTCTGCACTTTATCATGCAAAGTAAAATCCTTATGACAGGGGAAGCATGATTCCTAAGCTGGACAGGACTGTTCAAAGCGCTTAACAGGGCAGTTTTTTAAATAAATGGACATCTCACAAACTTGATATGTTATGAGTTTACAAAAAAAAATGATAATCAACATGCTCAATCTACTTGTTTGTGTGAAATAAACTTGAATGTGTAGAGCAATAAAAGTGGCTCAAAACCAGGTTGTCACTTCATGCTAAATCTGATCCTCCACCCTCGGGAGGTGATCTGAGCAAAATGAAAAAAAAAAAAAACAAAAACAAAAAAATAAAAAATTTTATTAATTGTTCATATGAAATCACCAATAATAAGTACATTTCATTAACATTGCATTATTTATTGCCACCCCTGGTAAGGATGCTCCAAAAGTCCAAAAATAAGCTTTGAGCAGCAGAATAACCTTTTGCAAAACAAATGCTGCTATTCTGCCACAGGGATTTTTGGGGATGTTTTTATCTTCCATGTCATCCTTCAAACGGCTCTTCCTGGTAGGGCAAATAGGGGTCAATTTAATAACAAACAATTTTATGAAAGTAACAATTATTTCTAGCCTGACATAAGAGGATCAACAGACTTTCTCATAATGGATGTTCTGTTTTATTTGTACCCCAGGAAGGCAGGGAGTCATGGATTAGTTCTTAGTTCTGATTCTAATGCTATGCAGGAATCCAGAAATGGAAATCCCTTTTGATCTGTCAGCTCTGCCAGGGACATAACTACAAAGAGTTACTTACTCGGCTGAACAGGGCTATCTACTTTATTATAACCAGTTTGTGTTTTTGTTCCAGGGTCCCGTCACTTTTACCTCTCTCAGCCAGTTATGTCAGCTGTTCTGTCCAGCATAGATTATTATTTCTGGCTTTTCGTGCTCAGAGATTCGTCATGTTAGATCCAGAAATTGATTAAATGATCTGCTGTATTACTGGATGTAAAAGCCCTTCCATGACACGTTAAAGCCTGACTTGGAAGAAAAGAGTTCATGTTGGCTGAAGGGAATTTTTAGGATGTTCTTTGGACTCTATTACATTTACTTTATGGCAATATAAATTAAACAATGATAGTGGGACTTGTGGGTTTAAAAAAAAAAAAGATTTTCAAACAGGTGATTATTTTTTGCCTGCCTCGTTCTGCTACATAAGATTAACTTATTGTAATGATTGCTGGTCAATGCTACAAAGATGCCAATAATTTAAGTGTGTTGAATAAATGGTGTTGATTTAGTGTAAAGGCTTACATCCTGTTAATAAAGATTTTCTCAGGCTTCTTCACCATCTGGCTCACTGCTGTCCAAAATAGGAAGAAAGATAGATGGGAAATTCATGACTTTACTGCTTGTTGCATCAGAGCAACAGAATGCAATTCCAAAACAAACAAAAAGAAACTGAATTTAAAACACAACTTTGAACCCTTTATCTTTATAAAATCTCATAAATAACATACATAACGACTTAGATTGCAGCCTTCTGCTTTTTAATGTCCTGTAAGCAAAAGGCGTGACATAAACAGTCACATAACACTTATGACACTGTCTGACATACAAAAATAATAATAATTAAAAAAGCGGTAAAAACACGATTATTTTTCATTCTTCTGGCATTTTGCAACTATAAATATTTTTGGTAAGTTTCTGCAATATTGTTGTTGTTGTCTTCGGCTTATTATCATACTGGATAAATAGGCCTTAAATTTCAACTTCTGCTCTGAAATCTTTTTACTTTCCATTAATCATAAATCACCAAACCCACATTTTCAGTGGTGACAAGGAGAAAATGAATAGCAAACCATGAAGTCTTCAGACTGTGAGCTTAAAACACTGACACATCATGAGGCATGGACCCCTGGGGCTTCGAGCAGCCTAATGACACCCTAGTATCAAACTAACTGCAGACCCTACATCTGTGTTCAGAGTTTTAAGTCTTGGTTGTTAATTTGGGTTTCTTTGTGCTTGTTTGCCTTCCCTTTGTAGTCACAAAATGTCTCTGTGGTAATTTTATATCTTGTAATAACCATAGTCGAACTTTGCAGTCATATTGTCATTGTTTCTGATCATTTGTCTGTTAGGTCAGTTTATATTTTTTCTGCAAGTCTCGTGACATCTTGCATTTTTTTATGATAGTGTAATGTCAACAGTGTCTTTGAAATGAGGGTCAAGGGACCTATGAACCTTTGAACCCAGTGGCCTGTGCCCAGCAGGCCCATTTGTAAATCATTTCATATCTGTACATGTTTTTCAGGGATCCAAAACAATCCCCTGGTGGAGAACTGCTCCTCGGGGGAACTGATCCAAACTACTACACTGGAAATTTTAACTATCTGGAAACAAGAGAGATGGGAAAATGGGAGGTCACCATGAAAGGGTGAGATATTTGCTGAACATACGTGCAATATGGATGTGTTGGTATATATATATATATATATATATATATATATATATATATATATATATATATTTTTTTTTTTTTTTTTTTTTTTTTTGCGTGCAACCATTCAGAAATGACACATTTTGGGTCTTGTTTGTGTAGGGTTACTGTGGGGGCGGAGATGATGTTTTGTGCAGAGGGCTGCACAGCTGTGATCGACACAGGCTCCTCATACATCACAGGTCCGGCCTCCTCCGTCTCAATGCTGATGAAAACTATTGGAGCTCAGCTGGATGAAACTGGAGTAAGTCACAAACTCATGGCAACAAAGTTTCCCACGAAAAATAATAGGCTGCAAAAAAAACTTTACCTGGCATTCTCCTTCAAATACAGTATAAAGTCAACTGCGACACTGTGAAGATGTTGCCTAGTGTCACGTTTCACCTGGGAGGCCAGGACTACTCTCTGACGCATGAAGATTATATAATATGGGTAAGATGGCGAATGATTGCTAATGTGTTGTGCAAAATCCTCCAAAGTAGAGCACAAAACATGTCTTAAATAAAAGAAACAAAAAATATATTTTTTGAAAATGGAAATATTCATTCTTATCGTGCCTTACAAAAGTACGTATAACTCTTAAAGTTGGTCTCATTGAAATTATGAACCCCCATGTTTTTTACTGTGATTTTATGGCAAAAGTAATTGTGTAGTCAAATGTCACCTAATTAATAAATAATAAAAGTTCATCTGAGTATAATTTTAAATCATTATAAGTGTAGTTGCTCTGTTAAGGCCTCGGATGTTTGTTAGAAAACATTAATGAAAAAGAGCGACATTAAGACCCAGGAGCACAGCAGACAAGTCAGGGATGAAGTTAACATCTCAAGCTTAATGTCCTAGCTCAGACATTAATCTGAGCTAGGATTAATGTCTAGCTCAGATTAGACATTAATCTAATCTGAGCTAGATTAGATTAATCTAATCTAGATTAATCTAATCTAGATTAGATTAGATTAATCTAGTCATTTTCAGTTTAGTCACTGAAAATGACTAAACTAACAGCCTGTGCAAGGAAAGCAACATTTAAAGGAGAAGCTAAAAGACCCGAAAATTTGTAGACTGCCAAGATTGTCAGCTTATGTAAGACTGACAAGAAGAAAACAATTCTTAAAAAACCCTGTTGGAAGTTCTTTTTGCAGTTTTTATTAGGCTGACTGCAGAAGAGCTGAGTCAAGGTGGGGGAGGGGAAACAACCTGAAGCATTCAGATAGAGCCATTAAAAAGTCTAAAGGATTCATTGATGTCCAGGATACATTTGTTAGATATTTTTAAACAGTTAGCTCTGGTTTAAGATATTTATTATTAGTCTAAACCTATCGTTACAGCAATCACAGTTCGAAGGGGACGTCTGCATCGTCACCTTCAGGGGCTTGGATGTGCCACCGCCTACAGGTCCGATCTGGATTTTGGGAGCCAACTTCATTGCCCGATACTACACAGAGTTTGATCGTCGCAATAATCGGATAGGGTTTGCTGCGGCAGTCTGACGAGAACTTTAAGTTCAATTGTGTTCACCTTTCTCCCCACTTTACTTTTTTTACTGCTGTTTTCCATCTTTTTCTTGTCACCTATAAGTGGGGGACTGACTTTCATCTGCTTACAAGATGAGTATTTTTAAACAGCATTTACTGATGTTTTTCCTCTTTTATTTGACTCATGTTGCACTATAAATTATAAAAGAAGTAATGTTACTCTTGTTTATCAATAAATTAATGCTTTCTGTCTGTCACTCTGCTTGTTATAAAAACATATATATGTATATTTCCTATGAGAATAAAATTGCAGTGCAAGATATTATTATTCTCATCTGTTTCCATTTCAGTGTAGTGTATGCATTGTAGTTTCCAACTACAGCTTAAGCTGTAGTTGCAAACAGACACTGCAACACATTTTATCTATAACATCAATACTGGGTCAACATATTTATCATCATATAGTGTCAATAACTTCCTGAAGGTCATAATGACCTATTGTGAAAATTTCTGTATGGTTTAGCAAGAAACAAAACAGGTTAGGCTTTCTTTCTGTCAGCTTGATTTTATAAGGTGTGAAGAAGCAAATTAAAACCAAAGGATTTATATTACAATGTAGGAGTTTTGATGTTTGGCCAGTTGAAGGTGTAAACTGAAGATGCGCTGCTCAAGCTTTTCTTTGCCAAGAACAATTTCTAGTTTTCTTTGAGGTCTGACCTACTGATAAAATTTTTTCTAAGGAGTATAGCAAAAGAAAAAAATCTGCTGTAGATTTTTTGAAAGATATAAAAGTGTTGAATTATACAGCTTGCCAAGTTTATTTGAATTATTCCTTAATGTGCCGGTATTATGCAAAATGTACTTTCTATATCATGTTATAACGTTATTCCCTCACCAAAAACATGTTGCTTTAATTTGTCCTTGAATCTCCCATGCAGCAGTTCGTGACTGCCTAAACGTTTGCTCATGCGCCACCCTGGCGCTAAAGTGACCAGCATAGCTCCCCCCCCACAGAGGGGGGGGGGAGCTATGCTGAAAGTCTGTTCAGCATCACCAGACTTTCAGCAACAGCAATTAGCAAACACCTGGTAGAACTGAGAGTCTGCTGAGATGTCATGCGAACAACAACTCCGATAAAAACGGTTGTAAATGACATCAGTGGATGGTATGGAGAAGCATGATGGCATGGCATGATGAAGGCAGGGTGTTGCAAAGGCTAGGAGGTTTTTGAAGAGACAGAGACCAATTTCAAGGTTTCAGCTACAGCTATGATTGACAGTCAAAATTATTTTAAATTGTTTTGATATACAACATTGTTTATAACAACTGAAGGTAACAGACTTAATCCCTTGAAAATACATGGTACCCATCCTTTATCAAAAATACAAAGCTTATGTCCCTTTGCATTAAATATTAGCTGTCAGTTTATAGAATGAAAATGCTGGAAGTTCTTCTTCAAACCGATTGTGATTTAGAAAAAAAATAAATAATAATAGTAATGATGATGATGATAATAATAATAATAGTAATAATAATAATAATAATAATAATAAACCACTTCATGTTTTTTGTAGACACCTCTCTGTGTCTGTGTAGTTTCTATCAGAAAATCAAACTGTTTTTGGTAAACTCTTGTCTTTTAAGAAAAGAGACTCATCATAAAACAAGCTGAATAATGTAAAACTTGCAAGCAAACATTGATCTTTAAGGAAATTATTTGAGAACGTAATTGAACAATGGCAGGAATTTCCAGCCCAGATGACAGGGGACATGATAAAACAATACAAATTACAACAGCACTTTCATTTATCACTTGCCCCTGTCAGATCTTTTTGTCCCATTTTCTCCAAACTCCCTAGGAAGTCCACTCTGTAGTGACAATAGAGAAGTAATGCGTCTTTGCTCCCATATCCTTGAATTGTCATCCTGGGACTGTATCTGTTGAAAGTGCACCGTGAGGTGAGGGTGGACTCTGGCATTTAATCAAAAATCCAGGCAATGCGAAAACATCTCTCTCAGTATGAGTTAGCTTAGGTAACTGAGTGGAAAGCTGTCCAAACAATCACTAACATAAACACAGCAGACAGAGTTGTCAGAAGACAGAGTTGCATAATCCATATTATTTCTAGCAGAATCATCCCGAAGCTGAAACTTATGTAGCACGTTATAAAGCAAAGCTCTACTCCTGCAACTGCAGTCTTTGAAACTGTCTGCTAGATATAATTGCTGCTGAACAATTAAACAAATCCAGATATGTGTGAATGTTCTAGATTCAAAGCAAGAACCCATTAAGCAAGCATTGTTCTTCAATAAAACACTATTTTAATGCAATGAGATTTTATGTGCTAGACCCACACAGATTATTGACTTTTCTAATGTTTTTTCCTCACAAAAATATTATTCACTGAAGAACAGCCAAGAGAGAGACATTATTAAAAATACGTTTTTGGATGCTTCACTACTACACCTTACACATGACTTGTGACAGGGCCAAGAAGGGTTAGTGCAACCCACAATGTAAAGATGTCCTGGGGGTCAATCAGAATAGTAAATGTTTATGTTCCAAAATGGAATCAGCTTTTAAAGACATTCAGTTTCTGAAATGTCTGTCCAGTTCGTTCTATGTTTGGCTTCTAATCTGTGTTCTTCAAAAGGATGTGCAATTACTTCCAATTTTTGATTTAATCCAAAAATATCTAAGCTGTTGAACCAAAGAACAACAGCAAAAAAATAAATAAATAAACAAAGAATGTACCAAGTACACAAGGGCCGTTTACTGCCAAACTGTATGACTTCCCTGCATGCCCAATCAAGGCTCAGCTCTTGATTTACTGGTCAACCAGCAATTATTCCTACCCTCATGTACATTGCATGTTCTTGAATCAGGAACTGCAAAGAAGAAAAATAAGAAAAAATACTTGAATAATTATGCACAGTATGAAATGTTCAGGTAAGTTTGGTTTATGGCGCTGGTTCAAAAGTTAAAATCCTCAGCAGTGATCAGAAATTCTAATAAGTTAGATTTTTGTGTGACCATATGATTGCTGAGTGGGAGTCACTTCTTGTGGATGTATGAATACATATCTGCCTTTCTTTTAAGGACACATATTTGCAACAATTTACAGATCCATTTTTGAACACTTTGTTCCCCTAAATACAACACTGCATGTTTAGTTCATTGATGAATAGCTAACGGCTATTGTGTGATAGCTGACTTCAATAGTTCATATCTCAAAGTATCTTTTAGATAATTTGCTTGCTGACTCCCAAAGGGTGACTTTTTGAAGAAAGTCACAGGAAGATTCATTGCTTCTGGGAGTTTTGATCACTCATGTTTTGCCAAAGCTCCAAAAGCCAATGCATAACTCATCGTGTTATTAATGACCTCTCATGCTTTCTGAAGAAATAAATTCATCCACTGGAAAAGATTTATTGCTCCATGGAGGGAACTAAATTATAACTTTGAGATATTCTTGCTTATTTAAAGTTTTCTCCTCTTTTTTTCTTAATTAGGGTCAATTCATGTAATTTTCCCCGCAGTTCTGATGGGATTTAGTCACGTCTGAGCATTGATCCTGGGAGAGTGGGGAGCTTTTATTTCATTATTGCATCTGTTTACCTGTGTGAAAACATGTATTAATTCAAACATATTTTAATGCAGCTGTCATCACACTGTACTCAGGATGACTTGAGTGACTGCACAGAGTTGTGACGAATAAGTGCTGGAGCATGTGTGAGAAAGCAGAAAAATAA